CAAGATCCCGAGAGGAGAATAGAGGAGAAGGGATTGCAGTGTGGCCATCCCCCCTGGGGGGGTGATTTCTCGCTGTCTGTCTTTCTCTCTCTCTCTGTCTGGCGAGCACACGCGCTCTATAGCAAAAACCTCTCAAAAAAAAAAAGAGAAAAAAAACAATCACATTGTATTTACGTATATGGATAAGTATGTTTTGTAAGTTTAAAAAATTAAAGCGTGAAGATAGTCATCCTCAGAAATTGACTCCATAATTATTGCCTTGATGGTTCTGCGTCATTAAACTGTAACTTTGCTAATTTTTTGTGGCAATCCATGGTTTCTGCATCTGGGGATTAAACCAACCACAGATCAAAATGTGTTTAGGGGAAAAACAAAAAGAAAACAAAACAAAAACAAACAAAAAAACAGCTTGGTTATGCTTCTACTAGTCACGTGTAGCCTTCTTTTTCTTGTCATTACTCCCTGAACGGTACATGGAACAGCTACTGGCATGGCATTTACGTTGTCTAAGTCACCTTGGGATGATTTAAAGTACACAGGAGTATGTGCTTAGGTTATATGGAAATACGACACCACTTTCCATAAGGAACTTGAGCACATGTGGATTTTGGTATCCGAGGGGAGCCAACCCTACATACTGAGGACCGGCTGCGTTCCCACACACAGCCCAGGGCAGATCGGACCCTTGCAGCAGCATCCCCTGTAGGCAGCTTCTCTTTTCTGAGGTAGCACCGAGAGGCCCATTTGGGAGCTATGATGTCTGGAACGTATTTCTTAATATCTGTTACAATAAGAATCATATAAGGGCTGCCATTTTGCTTTTTTCATAAAAAGCATCCTACGAGACCGTAGTCCTTAGGGTGCTCCCCAACTGTGAGCTGCTTTAACTTCAGTGAGTATCTAAAGGTGTTCACTTGTACAAAGATAATTCGTCATTACATGCTTTTTTTAAAAAGAAAAAAAAAAGTGTAGCTAAATTACCCCCCAGAAACTTCTCTTGCCAGTCCTAAATCAATTATCTTGACATTTTAGGGACTTTGAATCCAAAGCACACCATGTCGGTGACTCTGGCGGGACCCGTGCCCCGGGAGGGCAGACCCCCAGCCTCGCCACACTGGAGGTCCGTGGTAGCCCAGAGGCGAGCTTGGGGAAGGGGTTGTGAGCTCACTGGTGAGTTCCTCTGAGACTGGGAACAGAGCTCTGCTCTTCCACGTGCTGAGCTCACGGGTTCGGTGTTGTGCTCAGCCCCCAGCCTAGGAGCTGGGAACTGGAATGAGCTGTTTGAATTTCTCCTGGCATCCAGTATAATGTTGGTCATCACATGGGTGGAGGTAAGGGAACACGTGAAGAAATTTTACTTCTGACTAGATATTTGATGGCATATTCTCCACCATTTTTTCCTAATGAGCCATATAAAGGATAATTCTTGGGGCTGGCAGGTGGCATGGTGGTTATGGCACTGGACTCCCACATGACCGACTACAGTTCGAGTCCTGGACCTGGTGGCTTGCTTACTCACTTTCCCTCCCTCGGTCTCTCTGGTGAATTAAATAATAATGATAATGATGATGATAAATAATTCTTAAAAAAAGATCATTATTTGTTGTTAAGACATCATTTTTTAGGCAACTTCCAACTTAGGAACAGGGGAAATCCTTTTATATAGCACTATATCCTAGGACACAATTTTAGTCCTGGCCCTCATACTTCTCATTGAAGCATTTCAGATTCCATTGTGTATTTCATCAACAATAGAAGCTTTCAGACTTCACATTAAAAAGAGAAAAAGAAAGAAAACCTGTTCTTACACAGATAAGAATGATGTATTGATTTGAAACGCCCATTGTTTGAGCACATAGTCCAGTGAAACTTAAGTTCAAAGGGGTTTTTGGGTGTGTCTTCGGTAGAGCTGTGTCAGTGTGGCTAATTTATGGCCACATTAAGTCTGGTGGATTCCATAGAAGATACAAATTTAGATGTAATCAGCAATGGCAAAGCTAAAATGGATGGTGAATAGTTGATGGGCATGACTGATTTGGGAGCAGAAAATTCCCCGACATGAATCGAGACTTATTTTATGTTACGGCAAAAATGTAGACACTATTGGGTGACTTAAGATTAATTTGTCTTATACATACCCAAAGTATTCAAATGTAAATACTCTTAGGAAATTTTCATGGATGATAGAAACTGGGTAACTTGTACAAGTGAAAGTTTACTGGTGGGGCCAGGTGATGGTGTGGTAATGGCTGGCCCTACCCGGGAAACGCCTGGGTTCACATGCGGGGGCTTCCCTGAGCACACGCGTGCACGGGACCACGGCTGGCTGATGCAAAGGGCGGATTACAGCATAAAGGCCCTTTTGGAGATGCCATTTTTCTCTCTTTCTCTGAAGAAATAAATAAGCTTAAAAAATAAAAACTTGACCGGAATCTAGAAGCATCTTGGAGACATTTGTATCTGCTCCTTTTGTTTTGCTGAGTATTCTCGATGTGCCCCATGCACCAAAAATCACCCTGGAAAGTTTGGAAAAAGCCGGGCGGGATGTGCTTCTTTGGCTCTCTGCCCCACTGAGGCTGTTGATGTGGGAAGGCTCTTTTTTTGTTTTGAAACTTCCCCCAAGGATTGTGATGGTTGCAACATTGAGACCAGTCAGCCTCAATTCTGGTAGATCTCAGAGGGTGGCTTGAAACACTGTTACCGCTTGGTGGCAGTGTTGCTCCCTGTCTCAGAGACCACGTCTTTCCCGTTCCAGGAAAGTATGCTTGTTTTCTTTCTTTTTTTTTTTTTGGGGGGGGGGGGAGGGTTTGTTTTCGAAGTTTTTATGATATTCATATTTTTTGCTCATTTGCAACTTATTTGGAAGGAGAGCTGCTTTCTGAAATCAAGATGCTTCATTTTCATTTTCTAGAGGATTTTAGGATGCAGGCAAAACAAGGAAGGAAAAAAATACGTCTGCAATTGCCACAGATACATGGCTTTTTAAGCTTGTTTTTAATTTACTTATTATATAACTTTACATTTTCACGGTAAATAACGACCACGTTCAAGAAAAAAAAAAATACTACAAGCACAGAATCCGATTATTCATTGACTTTTGTAAAAAACCACTGGATTTTTTCTTTCTTGGCAGGTCAGGTCAGCAGTCAGGGAAGCCACCGCGAATGGCAAGGTTTGAGCACAGCTTGTCGTTTCGGTGCCCGCTAGCAATTTTAAGTTAGCAGTTAAACAGCCAGACCTTCAGCTTCGTGCCAGGGCTGGGGCTCAGAGCTGTGGTGATTCCTAGCCAGCACCTTGGCCACTGTAGTTGGTTACGAAGGCTGCAGGAGCAGAAGGCTCAGGGCCGAGGGTGCAGGTGCTGGAGTTCATGGCCTGGGTTGGAGTCCTTGCCGTTAGTGGTGTCAGGTGACCCACAGTGACGCTTACAGCCCCGAGGTGACAGGGCAGTCCTCCTTAGGCCAGCCTACCTCCAGAGTGTGTGCGTGTGTCCACGGGATAAAGTCCAAAGTGGTGCATCTTGACTTGTTACCTTGGCACGTTAATCTGCAGACACCAGGGAGCCACTGAAGTTCGGGAAGCTAGGGAGTGGCAGCTATCGGGTCATTGGGAAAGGCAAGACCCATTTTTGCATAGAAGAACACAGAAAAATACGTCCTGACTTCCCTAGTGACCTAATAGTATGAAAATATTTTCAGGGGCTAAATCTCATTTGTAGACTACTCTAAGCATGAGTTAGCCTTACTTCACGACTGGGACTAGGATGAGGCTTGTGAGTGCCCTGGGTGCAGAATTTAAGCAGGCGCCCACTTCCAGAGCCCTGTGGGGCTGACCTTGTGCTCACAGTAGCCCGAGATTGGGCGCCTCATTAATGATCCACCTCGAGACGGCTGCCTCCCCGCAGGTGGGCCCTGTGTAGCCCGTGGCCCGTGGCCTGGTCGTTGTAAGTGAATGGACAGCCTGCACAGGAGAGATGGATCAACTCTGTGGAAGGGTTCTTTGGTGGGAAAAATTTGTTTTGTTAAAAGAAACAGCTTTGGGGGGCCTGCAGATAGGGTGGTGGTTAAGACATTGGACTCCCACGTGGCTGACCACAGTTCGAGTCCTGGACCTGGTGGCTTCTGTTCTCACTTTCCTTCTCTCTCTCTGTCTCTCTCTCTCTCTCTCTTTTTCTCTCTCTGTCTCGCTG